ATATGATACTATTTACAGTTAGGGTTAAGGTTGAGCAGTATAAATAGGTTATTTCTGTGCATAATGAGCGCTTTTTTTTTTTTTTTGCTATTCTCTTTTTTTAACTAAAGTTTGCAACTCTGTTGCACTACTTCAGCCCCAGATTCTATGATGATTCCATTATACACATTATCATTAAATTGGTAAAAATGGTCTTGTACTGCTTAGTGAATATCACATTATCATGCTTAGTTAAACTTTCAGAGATGGCACATCATTTTCCCACTTATATGAGTGATCTAAAAAGAAACCATCCAGAAATATTTCTGCTCCATAGTTTAAACACAAAAAGAGGGCTTTAGAAATGAATAAGCTGAAGCTTGTGCCCAAGCCTACTAAAACAAGTAGAAGTATTTCCGACGGATTTTAAATTTATAAAATTGATTTGATAACCCACAAATCAGCATTATCAATCTGTTTATTTTATCATGTTGAGTGAATGAAGACAGACTGGGGAATAATTCACATAATTTCTTATGCGTGAAAGCTTATGCCATAACAATTGTCTTTAAAATGCTGGAAGCCTGTACTCTGTGTGTGTGTGTGTGTATGTGTATGTGTTTTATTGGATCCAGATTTTGTAATACTTAGAATAAGCCTGTTAAAATCAGGCACTTTTGTTAAGAGCATATAAAGAACTTTGCTGGATTTGCCCGTCTAAACCAGCATCTCGTAGCACAAAGTGACCATACAGAGGCATTCAGGAAGCTTGAATACATAGGCAATAAGTTGGTAGTCCTCTTCAGTTCTAAATGGTATTTAAGATGATTTGGAAAGTAGTAAACAGCTATCGAGACTTTTAGTCGCTCATAGCATGATCTTCTATGAATTCATTTAGACCCCTTCTAAAGCCATCTAAATTGGCAGCCATCACATCTGATGTCAGTGAATTCTTCATCTATGTGTTGTGCAAAGAAGTCATTATTTTGATTAATTTCCCTAAGTTTAGTTTTAATCAATGATCCCAGTTCATAGAAGAGAAAAAAGAATGTCATTCTATTCACATTTTCCAATTCTGTAACATTGTATTAGAAGTATGGCTGCTATACATAATAGCAGGTACAAGATATATATAAATATATAATGTAGGCTAATTCGTAACAGCTTATATAAAACACCCACAGTATTTGTTGTTATTGTTGATTCATGAGAATGCCTATGATTCTACAATTACACCTTCTAGTTTAGAGGGTATCCCAACCAAGACAGCAATAAAAACCTAACAGGTACATGTGAATTTCTGGAGAAAGGGGTAGGAATAGGAAAGATAATATGTCCTTGTTGTAGTACAAATAAGTGTGTCATATAATTGGAGTGGATCTCTTCACCTTCTCTTTTTTAACTCTCAATGTACATAATTAATCTTCCAGAGTGGAGCCAAATGTCCTTTCTGTGCAATGATCAGATATTTCTTTGCTGTCCAGATCAATACAGAACCCAAGGGTTCTGTGAGTTTCAGCATCCTAGATTCCAATGCCAGGAATGGGCTAATATCCCCATAAATGCATCCATTTTACTTTGCATAATGAGACACAGACAGAAATAGTGTGACAATTGCTTTTATTTGTATGCCTCTATAAACTGAAATTTCCACTGAAATTTATAAAAGCCATTTCAGTTTATAGAGGGCAACTGAAAACTCTTTAAGTCAGTGTTCCAAAAATCTTAGATCTAGCATGAGGGTGCCATGCTGAAGCTTTGTTCACCATTGCCAAATTTTAAGAGCATCATAAACACTCTGGCTGAGAAACAAAGAAACCCTGAACCTGGAAAGAAGTCAGTGAGGTCAAAAGTAAATATGCATTTGATATGCATAGATGCAGATGTATGTTGTCCCAAATGAAAGAACCAGAAGCACAATTCCAGAAATATTCATGTTGAAATGGATTTACTAGGTTTTCCCCTTGAGCTTATGAGAAGAGAAATCTGGGTCAGTGAGTTCAAACCATCCATTCACTGATTCACAAAACAGAACAAGAGCTTTTACATGACAGTTTAATTTGTTATGACATAAATATCAGATCAACTTTCTGAAGGCAAGATATCTATTAGCAACATACACATACACACGCGCACACATACTAAAGCTTTAAAGTAAGAAATTACACAAATGGTTACAAAACAGTACAGAATTTGTATAGCTATAGCTGAAAGGAATTATTTTATAATATATAAGACATATTATTGACCAACCAATATGCCTCCCATCTCAATGATATAACAACTCTGGGTTCAAGGGAGTTAAGGTCAAGGTCATGCAGTTGATGACCTTGGAAGAGGCTTATCTCCTCAACACTGACATCTCTGCCCATTCATTTGCTTATTCTCCCAGGCCTAATCCATATAACCATGAGTGTGTAATGGTATGTGGGAATGACCTCTTGGAAGGAAGAGCTGCAGACTGGACAATCAGCATGTAAAAGATATCTCAGCCCACAGAAGGAGGGGAGGGGGAATAGGAAGCATTTCAGAAGGGACCCTCCCTAGTTTTCCAGAGAGTAAAAGGAGAGGAGGGGAGAAATACTTTCAATCTTGCAAGATTCTGTTACCATAAGCTTACAATAAAGATAGAGCTAGTATTCCTGGTTGTGCTTCTTGTCTGGACTACCTCAAAGGGCTAACAGAATGTGAGTCCAAAAGAGATGGGAAATGCTGCCATATCCTCCCTTTTATTGTTGCTGCCTTACATATCTTTCTTAATAGCAAAGTGGACACTAGCAAGAGGAACTGTCAAAAATTGCCAATGCCAACTATATCTCAAGTTGTCATAGTAGGGTGCTGGGAAAAGATTTCAGTTAGCAATAATTGTGACTCGGATTAATCTCATTAGCTACAATACTGCCACTGCACAAAGTATTGGGATCAATGCAATATGGCATCCAGCATAAGGATGCTTCTAAGTTACAAGCTATCCAATCAAATTTTTCAAGGCTATAACCATGTTCCTTATTCCATCTTTAACTCCCTAATCCAGCTGGTTTAGGGACTCCATCTTTTTAGGGACTCATCTGAGACTCTGTCACCTCAAAGTCTGATTGAAGCAAATTTTGGGGGGAACATCTTTGGTCCATCTCACCTTACTAGATAGATTTGAATCTTCCCTAAGAAGACAAATCAGTCCTGATTTAGCTTACTGAGGCTTTTCTTTCCCTGAAGCCATACTTACCCTGCAGTGGAGGATCTGGGACCTAGATCCCCAAACAGGTAGAACCAGAGTTTCCCATCTCCATTACAGCACAATGATCACCTCCCTGCTCCATCCCCAGACACTTTTATAACATTTCACATAGGAAACTCTCTCTCTCTCTCTCTCTCTCTCTCTCTATGTAATTAGAAGTTAAAGAGAACATAAAAACTAATACAAACTAATACAGAATAAAGAAAACAAAAAAAGAAAGAAAAAAGACAAAAGTGCAGAAAGAAAAGATAAAAAGCAATAGAAAGAAGCTTCTGATTTCCTTTGCAGCAAATATAATTACAAAGTTATCTTTTACTCTATGATTACAAAAAAAAGCTTACTTTTTTCTATGATCTATTTTTTTTCTAATCATCAAAGTCATAAGTCATAAGTGCATTTTTTTTCTGTTTCAAAAAGTCTACAAGGGGTTCGCATAGGAAACTTTTCACCTTGGGCCAAATCAGCAAATTACCTGTAAGGGCAACAACTGGTAGATACAGCAGTATCCCTAGGAATATCACACTATACGTTCCCATAGAGAAGCCGAATCTCTTTTTCATGTACTGCTACAGTGCTGTCTATATAATAAATGGAAGATGGGACTTGTAACACCAATTGCTAGAAATCTTAATTGCTCCTCTGAGCAGGAGGTTATCATTTTTCTTGTAGGCAATCACAATTTTTGACAATAGCCATGGCTTCCAGAAATCATCTGCGGCCTCCCTTACACTCTTAATTGCTTCCAGCTTTTTTACGTAAGTTCTATTCTATTTTTTGCATTGTTTTATATTTGATGTGTTGTGATATTGCCTTCTTTTAAATATTGGTTTCCTACTGCAAATAAATAAATATACCAAGAGAAAACGTAGCTATTGATCATACTTGGATTATAATTAAGTGCCGAGTACCCTTCATTTGTAGGGTCACTTCTGAAATTTTCCCCAACTGAATGTCTTCTAATAGTGTGTATTCTTCATAACCTAGCCTTGTTTCCAAGCACAGTAAGACACTAAAATTCTTTATTGTTCTATATTATTATTCTTGAACTGAGTACGCAAAGATTGTCCATGAGCAATTTGCCAGAATTTTTACTTTCCCCAATATTATGCTATCAATAAACATATTTCCACTGGAAAAATAAGCAATTATGGCATGACCATTAGCATTTTTCATTTTAGACATACCAGACTCGGGTAGCAAAAATCCAGGCATCTGCTGGATACAGAAAACTCTGCTGTTTGCTGCCATCTAGAGCCCATCTAGATCATTGCAGCCCATGTATGATATGCCTATGTACTTTATATCAACATGTCACCAATGTGTGTGCTGCATGCAGTTCTCTGCATTGATTTTTGTTTAAAAAAAACTAGTGTGGAGGTACAAAGGTTCAGTAATATCTAGATTGTTTTGTGTAGTGTTTCAGTGATTAGAAAAACTCATATGCACAGATGTAAAATACTGTAGAAAAGTGTTGATGCAAGATTGAGGATGGTGATTAGAAAAACTCATATGCACAGATGTAAAATACTGTAGAAAAGTGTTGATGCAAGATTGAGGATGGTGATTAGAAAAACTCATATGCACAGATGTAAAATACTGTAGAAAAGTGTTGATGCAAGATTGAGGATGGGGGATGTGTGGGCCTGCCCAAATTGGGGCAATGTAGAAATGCTGATAGATGATTGATTGATCGATCAATTGATTTCATTTTATTAATATCCATATGCATATTGGTAATAGAGAAGTGGAGAAGATGCAAATGGAGGAAAGAAACTGAAAGTTACAACAAAGTATACATTCTTCAGTTCCACAACCAGAAAACATTTTTGAGTGAAATAATTAAAGTCTCCTTATCTGTTGAGATCTGGAAGAGAAGGCTCCCTCTGGATCCTGTCCTTTATGGATTGTTTCTTGCAGGGATCCCATAGTCAGGCCTCCTCAGTCCTGCCCCCATTCTCTGGACAATATTCTTCCTCATATCAGAGTGGCCCAATCCAGTTAGCTTTTTGGAAACCCAGTGATACCTGACTATTCCCATGGACCTCTGGAAGTTGAGGGAATCACTTTGGCTTCTCCTGGTGTGGATGGTGTTATGGTTGTTCCCTAGGGCATGGAAAGTTACTTATTACTTACCGCATTGCATTTCATTATATTGTTATGTCTACCTTGTGATTCTTTAGTTTTGACCTTATTACTGCTTTGGGAGGTCTGGCACAATTGGAGCCACATAATAGAAGCCTAGTAAAACAAACAAACAATCCAGGAAAAGTAGAACACACAACAGAGCAAAGCCAAGGGACAATGAGGAATGTGGAAAATTATTTGTCTCCATACTAGCATGTAACCTAATACATAATGACAAAGGTATTGTAATCTCATTTAAAAGCAAATATCATTACAATCCATGCTTCCACAATCCGGTGTCTTCCATATCTATTGACATACGACTCCTATCATGCATTTTGGTGATAATGGGAACACTATTTCATTACATTTGGCACTGTACTAGCTCTTAATTCTTCACAATCTATGTCTCCCTGTAAAGATATGTAAGGGTCTGCACTGAATCTAGATTGTCAACCACCCCTGAATCAACAGTTTTGCATAATACATAGTGAAACCCATGCACCCATGTGTCTGCACTTTGCTGGGAGGGAGAGAGAGAAAGAGAAAGAGAAGTCATGTCTGCAGATCTAAACTAATAATAATAACAACAACAACATGTTTCTTTTTTAAAAGTTTAAAGGAGTTTGGTTTCCAAGCCATTCCACCTATTTTTCAGATGTTCAGTAAGTATTTATCAAAGCACGTATCTACAGTGTCACTATTTCTTGTAGCTTTTCCTTCTCCAACTATGTGAAGGAAGTTCTTTTACTCCATCCACCCACCTATAAAATGTCCCACACACTTGAAACTGAGCAGGCTTCATATTTACACAAGAGGCACAGAAATTCTATAGATACCCTGGAATTCCATGAAAAGTCAACAGAGCGGTTTTGCATGGAATGAGGTTCCTGCTGAGATCCTAACGGCCTGCTGGTGTTTTGAAGGGGCCTGAAGACTTGGCTCTTCGCCTAGGCCTTGGTGGGGATGACTGAAGCCTCCTTTTAACCTAGGTTGTTTTCTTTTGTTTCTACCTGGTTTATCTTCCCAACTCCATCTTTCTTTTTGTTTTCTTGTCTTTTTTTAATGTCTTGTTTTTCATGTTTTAAATAATTGGTAAAGGGTCACTGGGAGTTGGGTGGCATATAAATTTAATAAATAATAATAGTACTACAGCTCAGTCTCCTAGAACCCAAACTTCTACCAGGTTGGAGAAATCACCTGTTACTTCAAGATCTTGCATCAGACTTCTCTGCACCACTGGAGCTGCCATTACCTAGTAGTAGTAGTAGTAGTAGTAGTAGTAGTAGTAGTAGCTGGCTGCTATTGTGTACTTTGATATTTGCTTTTCTCCTCTGCAGAAGGAAAAAACAACCACCTTTTCACAGGATGGGTGGGCTGGCACCTACTAATAGCAAAGACTGGATCTTTATTATTCAGATAAGGAGCTAAGTGCACTATGCTCTAGTGTATACCCATTTTGAGTCAAAAATAAATCCCATTTAGTTTAATGGTTTCTACATGTTTAGGACTGATGCTGTAGGAGCATATTTTGTCCACACCACTCTGAAATGAATTTGAGAGTATGGAAAAACACATAGATGGTGTTGTAGAACTTCCCATTCATTTCTATGGGACATGCAGAGAATGTAGCCCACTTATTATGTTTTAAGAATTATCCTTATTCCCACAAGTACCCCATGCAATCTGTTCATGAATACTAAGACAAAGAAAGTTTAGAGAACCTTTTGAAATCAGTGCATGTTATAGCACTTTGCAAACTCAATCGTTAACGTTTGTTGTGGAATATCAGGATATGTTTAAAAATTGGGAGAAAGATCATCTCCTGTTCAAATCACAGAAATGTTACTAAAATAGACCAGTCTGATACTAACTCTTTTGTTCAGGGCACTGTGATATGTGTTTTTATAGGGCCTTACACTTATCAGCCACAGGCATTTTTTCACTGTCAAATCTTCTCTGCCACAGTTTTTATGGCCCATATTAAGAGATTAATTAAGATACAGATCAATAGCATCATGTATCAGCAAAGGTGGGATCATAGTGCAACTGAAAGTCTGTAATTGATGTTCTATTACAAAACAACAGTTGAAAAAAACTTTTAAACTCTAAGCCTCTAAACATGCAGAAGCTTGCGACTATTTCACTTACCTTATTGATCAATAGTAAGGAGAAGAAAACTTGGCAGAACAATTAGGAGGAGCTGCTGCATTTATATTAAACTCTGTCCCCCTTTTGTGTATAGTTAACAAAACAAATGAAATCCTGACCTGATCAGAGAGGATGGGGATTTCGTCTCTCAAATTACATAACATTTCAAATCTGCCAAGGTTGCTGTGTTCCAATTAGTGTGGTCCTTGTTGTCATTGTTCCTAAGTCTTAAATTATGCAATGAAGCATAGGAGGTAAAGAGCTAGCCAATGGCTAAATGGTGAAATCAGGACATCCTTCTGAGTGCCTCTATACTTGAGATAAGAAGCATTGTCTTACAGTGTTTTTACATTCTCATGATATTCCAGAAGGTGGTGCTGAAAGACTACTACTTTTCCCTGTG